TACAGAAGATGGCAATGAGGGAATCAGAAAGGCAGTGGATTTTGACTAAGACCCCTGCGGTGACAGCACCCACTCAAACTCCTCCATGGCGATGATGAAGGTCCAAACAAATCTGCCTTCAATGTAAACAACATGGCTGAATATTTATGGTTTACAGACAATAATCATGAGAACATACTTTCTTCCCTTCTGTGATTATGTGTAGAAAGCATAGTTGTTTTTAAGGCACTGACAAGGGAATATATGTACACTATGGTTCAAAATTGAGGACAGTAAGATTTTTCTTTTAGGAAATTTATACTTTTATTAAGTAAGAATGCTATCAAATTTAAATTTAAATTGATGTATATAATAATAATAATAATAGTAATAATAATAATAATAATAATAGTTGTTGTTGTTACTATACACATAACAATTATTATTATTAAATTATCATTATAGTTTCGGTCTACTACCTTGTAAACACAACTGTTTAATGCTGGACTGATAAAAACGTGAACACCATAAATCCTTCAAACTGTGTTTAGGTCGGTCAATCAGACTGGAACACGTTCACATTTTTGTGTGCAATGTGCATCAGCCACTCTGTGAACAGTCCGTGGGTGAGCAATCTGAGGATGAGACTACAGTACTGCTGGAAATAAAGACACCCAGGAACAGGTCTCACTTTATTACACTATAAGGGCCCTAGTCAAACAAATGATACCATACTAGAGAGCAGATTAAAACATCAGACCATAGAGAAATGGAGGGTTTCTATCGATCAAAGCCCTTCCTTGTCCAGCAGCTGTCGCAATCATGTCAAATAACCCGACTAATCAACACTCCAACGCCTGAGTGCTTCTGGGTAAACAGATGAAGGCTTCAACACTCTGTATCTAATCGACCATCACTGATAAAGCAGCGGATGTATCCTCAGAATAACAAGTAAGAAGAAACCCTCTAAAATCAACAACGTTATACTGAATTTGTAAAGCAACTCTGGGTAAACAGAACTGATGTGAGAATTTACCCCTCCTTAAAGAGCGATAGTGTGGGAATTTTTAAGGTCTTGAACTTTAAAAATGAAAGCACCATTATGCAAAAGGTGATACTCAATCCTATGTAGCGAATCAGCTCATGGGGAAATATGAATAACTAATCATAACTAGTTATAATTAATTATAAATATTTAGATCCGCTGTAGATATTTACCTGACCTCTCAGGGATGACAGGAATGAGTGTTTCCATCATAAGCCTGCATAAAACAGTATAAAATCTCAAAGACAACATACACGATGATCTGAAGGATATGTGTGTTCATTCAAAGAAAGGTTTTCCTATGGATTCATTAGAAAAGAGTCAATTTCTACTGGGCACTGTCTCTTTCTAATTCAAAGGCAGTGATTTTCCCTACTTACATTCCATTAGGTCGTAAATGGCTCTGGTCTAGCAAAGGTGTCGTGGTTGCCATGGTAACCAGTGGCCTGTGGTCATTCGCAGACATCCTGGCGCCCAGTCTATTGGGTGAGGGGTCTGTGACGACTTGTTAATCTAATGAATAACTGATTTGTTAAATCAAATGAAAAATTGTGTTTTTGATTGGTCCAGACGCTACACCTGCATCCTGCTCATCTTGTCAGTAGTATGAAAACCTGATTGGTTAAAGCTGTTCTCTTTAAAATTATAACCATCTTACATACTACTCTTACCATTTCTGCTGTTTACAGTATGCAAACCTCAAACTGTATGTTTATCTGTATACATAAAACACATGGATTAACTACTGTCAGTGCCAGTATATGTGCAGTAAACAACATAGCGCACATGCACAGATTAAGGTCTCCCAGACTGCATTGCAGTATCTGATTGAAAAATATTATATTAAATGTAATCTCCCAAGGTCATAAAATGTTTTCCTTCCTTGAATACATTTATATGGTGTAGTACATACAGCACACTAATATTAATTTTGAACATAGCCAAACATTTGGCCTTGATGTGTTGCCTGAGGAAAACAGCCCGTCCAAAAAATACAAGCCTAAATAATCTCTGAAGCATAAGAACAAAATATAATTATTTTATTAATATAATAACACACTGACTCATCTTAAAAATAAAAATAAATTAGTAGCAACAGACAGCTGAAACAGATGTCCTGCCTTAAAGTTTTTGAGATCAGTTCGCAGGCGGCGCTTATCTTGCATGAGAAGGAGCAACATGAGGTATTCTAAAATGAGACCTCTCAAAGGGTCTGTGCTGTTTGTTTCAACACTAAACACATGGCACAGATATCTGCATCTACAACTCATCAGGAGCGGATAAAACTTCAGCCACTCAATACTTAAATGTTGGCCGATGTTAAAAACAAGAAAAATGTTCCAACTGATGTCCTTTTTGGATGCCCCTTATGCACCATTTGTTAGTTCCAAATTTAATCAGCAATATTTTTTTAAAACAGTATCTGTTTCTAGCCGTACTGTTTTAATTAGTCAGATACATGTTTGTTGATACAGAGTAATACAAAATTTATACAAATCAGTAAATCATATGAACAAATATCCAGGTAATATTTTATCCCAAAATTAGAACAATAGATAGATAGAACGATAGATAGATAGAACGATATATAGATGGAAAGATGGATAGAGCGATAGAATGATAGATAGAACAAAAGATAGAGCGATAGAGCGACAGAACGATAGATAGATAGAACGATATACAGATGGATAGAGTGATAGAACGATAGATAGAACAATAGATAGAGCGATAGAACGATAGATAGAACGACAGACAGACAAACTAATTATTTATTAGCCTTACAACAGGCAAAAACCTAGGCTTCATGTTCTTTATGTAACACATTTTTAGCTCTTGATTTGTTTGTGAAATACACCTGGACATTTCATGGCAGTTTTGATGGGACTCACCCCAGAAAGTGTAAGAGTGACATTGTGGTCCCAGTGCTGGAACTGCATGACTCAAGTTGCTCATTCGGGATTCTACAACATTAAAGAGCCCTTGAACGGTGTCCTTGCTCTGTGGAGACAGCCTGCAGCTCTAACCAAGAACAATTAATCACCCCTAAACACATATCAGGCCAGTGTGGATTATCTGATGTCCAGAGAAATGCTGTTCGTTAAGATTGCTGGCCGAGTCTGTTTCTTACTGTCCCAAAAACAACCCACACTAGTTCACGCTTTGAACTCTGCTGCAACTGCAGCTGCCCACAAATAGCAAATAAGATTTAATAAAACATGACTCAGTGGACATTCAGCAGAGTCCATTGCGCCCTACTCCCGACTCCACACTTTGATGAGAGTTTTTTTCCCCCCTTCCTTTTTTATCACTACATTTTGTTCTCTCTGCCTCTACTTTAAGAAATAACAATCTTCCCTTAACAGCTATGTCTAGAAAAAAGGAAAGAGCATATAGAATAAACTTGCCTGGTTCCTAATAACTCCCCCAACTCTCTGCCCATCCTGTTTTGGAGCAGATCAAAGGTAATAATCCCCCATAATCCTCTGGTGTGCCCTTGCTGTTGTTATGGTCATTATAGGCTGCCACATTGTTGCTAAGCTATCACGATTGTTCAGAGGAAAGCTACACTGGCTCAGTTTCACAGTGTAATGCCTATTTCACGGATGGACAGCCAGTAGGATAATTAGATGGGCCCAGAGCTACAACACAGCAACAACGTGCTTCTCGGACAGAGAACAAGGCCTCGTTTTTGCAAACTAAAGGGTCAGGGAGGATACAAAACGCTCTTTGTCAAGGAGTATAACAACTTTTTGTGTTACTTCAAATGTTAGAGTGCATGCAAAAAATGAAGCGAAATCCTGAATGAAGAAACCAAGCAAAAAGCATTTTTTTAAAAAAATCTGAATTATCTGCAATAATTAAATGAATAAATAAACTAAATGTTTACAATTACTGAAGTGTTTTTGCATTGAAGTAGGCTTCGTTTTTTCGCTCTCTCTATTGGAATATGACCCAGGCATTTCATGGTATATTTCCCTTTTCCCCCAAATAGTTCCAATTCAGATTCATATCATGCCAAGAATCTGAATTATGTCAAAAGCTGCCTATGAGAGTCTCTATAATATTCTATGATATTCTCGTCTACACAAGTAAAACAATTTTTTAAATAAAAATCTGAACAGCAGCTACATAGGTTGGCAATGGCATACACGGTTTAATAGTTATGGAACCATTCAAGGATTGTAAAACTGTGACACATATGCAATTCATGGTAGCTGCTTTTGTCTTTGCCAGTGTTGCTGTCAGAGGAGCTGTTACTATTTGTTTGGCTGCATGCAGAACAAATTCTTTGGATGGAGGAGAATGTAAATTTAAATGGCTTCTGCGGATTACAACCATGTTTTGGTTAATTGATGAGGCGGCAATTATACAGAGCCAAGGTAAAGTTTTTCCACTTAAATTTTTTTTATTTACATTTGTACCAACTGCAATTCAACATTTTGATATGTAACAGTTTCTCTGAGGCTATTGGGTTTGACTGATGCATAAATGTTGGGACTTTTAGCATGCAACCATCCTAACCAGGTTTGGCGCAATAAGGCAAAAAGCAATACAAATTATTGCTCTTGAGTTTTTGTCATAAGCAGCAGCAGCAGCTGCGACAAGTGGCAGGATATTTAGCAGTTACTCTGTATCATACTGGATAGTCCCACCCACAATTAAATTTTGCTCCAAAATCTTGCTTTATTTTTTTTTTGCACTTCTAATGTGGATGGACAAATTATTTGTCGCTGGAAACTTCACACCTGGTTAAGATGTGATAAGAACATCAAGGTTGACAGTTTGACATTTTACCTGGTTGATTCCAAACTTTACCAGAAATATACATAGCAAGTAATTGTTTCATGCAGTAAAACCTTGGAAGTGATCGGTTAACCAATCTACAAATCTTCACTAAACAAAAACAGTGGGATTTATTCTTGATTCCTCACTGTACAACCTGTTTTCCCCATAAAGATAGAGAAAGTCAACTCACCATTAGAAGGGGGTACGGGGCCTCACGGCAAACCGGTCACAGCTATAGGGGCAGAGTTTGAAACGTTCACCTTTGGGCAGAAGCCCAAGTCCCATCTCCTTAAGATTTAAACCTCAGCGGCTCTGTACAAAAGGCAGAAAACAAAAGCAGCACATCAGAAGCATAACAAAAACAGCGGCCGTCATTTTCCAGACCCTATCGTGAGCCAAACAAACTAGCATCTTGCCTGAGAGCCTATGTATAGCCCCACAAATCCCACCGCCACCTTCAATGGCATGTTGCCGGAGGCTCCTAGGAAGGAGGGGTGTCTATGTGCAACCATCATAGCGCTAAAAAACATGGAACTCTACACATGCAACTGAATTAACACAAAGTGCGCATTTACACGTCTGCACACATGGGAGACAAGTTTCTCTCTAGAGACAAGATGATCAAGAGTGAGGGGGGGGGAGGGAGAGGTGGAATATATGACAGTAGAACAGCTGCCAACTTCTTGACATAAAAACACCACAAAGCAAACAGAGCATCAATTATCTGATGGCACAGTTAGCCATGTTTGCTAGGGCAAGAAACACTATTAATATTACCTATATAGGCTTATTAGGACCTTTTCCCCTTCCCAGCACTGAAGGGGAAGTCGTGGCCTAATGGTTACAGAGTCAGACTCGTAACCAAAAGGTTGCGGGTTCGAGTCTCGTACCGGCAGGGATTGTAGGTGGGAGGAGTGAATGTACAGCGCTCTCTTCCACCTTCAATACCACGACTGAGGTGCCCTTGAGCAAGGCATCGAACCCCCAACTGCTCCCCGGGCGCTGCAGCATAAATGGCTGCCCACTGCTCCGGGTGTGTGTTCACGGTGTGTGTTCACTGCTGTGTGTGTGCACATTGGATGGGTTAAATGCAGAGCACTAATTGCTAGTATGGCTCAACGTCACTTTCACTTCACTTCACAATTTTGCTAAACTCCAAAAAAGTACCTATACAAACAATTCACTGCAGTTTCCAGCTGCAATGAACACTAGTGGCAGTAAAACACCAATAACTTTTATTTCTTTTCACACAAATTATGATTACAGGGGAAGATTATCGATTAATAAAATGAATAAAGTCTTTTCACGAAGCCCCTTGCACAAAAATAATATATTTGCATCGCAAAATTCATTCCATAGTTTTTGCTTTTCTGCATAGTAAACTTGCTCAGTAGCTCACCTAGTGCAGCACTGAACTTGATGTGGAGCACTTGAGTACCGTCCTGTGAAAGATAAGTCACGATAAAAAAGCTCAAAGACTTGCAGGAGCTAGAATGGCATGGTTGCTTCAGAATATGCCATTTTCTTTCACATTTGCTTTTGTTAATATCAGTTAGGTTTAGGGTAGGGTTGCCTCTCACCAGACCTTTAATTTTTAAATTGCTGCGATATGTAAAACAACCAACATAATAAAAAATGTATGTTTATCTTTTTCAGATAAAACTGAATGGCCATTGAACATTTCTCTTAAGTGAAACAAGCGAAGCAATGTAATATTTTGAAGAAATGTCACCAACACATTTTTTCCAGTGAGTCTGGTGTTCAGCTGGCACTTTATTCCAGTGACTATGCGTTCGGCTGGGATGACCATTACTTTTTACTTTGAACAGTAAGTAACAACCGAGCAACCACCCAAAAAACCTCAGCAACCACCTAGGCCGAATTTACAATGCATGGTTCAAGCGTCAGTCTATTGCTAACTGTTGTGGAGACTCTCTATTCGTTCGAGTACATTTTTGGTAATGCTGGTGGTGCAGAAATTACATAGTACTTCAACTTTAAAGGGGTCATATGATGCGATTTCAATTTTTCCTTTCTCTTTGAAGTGTTACAAGCTCTTGGTGCATAAAGAAGATCTGTAAAGTTGCAAAGACTAAAGTCGCAAATCCAAAGAGATATTCTTTATAAAAGTTCAGAGTCAGACACTCCTACCTAAAACGGCTCGTTCTAACACGCCCCCACATGTCTACGTCACGATGTGGGAAGATTTGCATAATGCCACCCAAATGTTCACGCAAAGAAAGAAGGCGTAACTTTTATTCTCGCTGTAGTATTGTTGCTGCCGCCATGTCGTGAAGGCACTGTGTGATTCGTTGTGAAAGCGAAACTACTTTGTTTGGCCTTCCAAAAGAGGATGATATCCGCTTCGTCATGCCTAGAGCTGATCCGTGCTGGTCGCTGAGGAAATACATCAACTTCGCGCTGTGGATCGAATCCGCCGGCCACGCCGTTCTCAAGCCCGCCCTCCACCGCTCACTCTAGCCGTCGGCCTCCGCTCACTCTAGCCCTCCGGCTGCCGGTCACTCTAGCCCACCGTGTATTTTGTTGTGAAAGCAAAACTACTTTGTTTGGTCTTCCAAAAGAGGACACGACTAGAAATCAGTGGTTAAGTTGTATTTACAACACTGTTCCAGAACAGTTCAACCCAAATATTAATTTGTGTGCAGCACATTTTATGGAGGACTGTTTTCTGATTCTGGAAGAGTAGACTACAATGCCAGTTGTTCTGACTCACAGACTGTAAGAACGTTTTCATTTAAAGGATTTGCCACTGATGATTCAAACGCGAGTTTTGAGCAGTGTAGAGTAGCGTTTGTTTGTCATTTCTCCGATCACAAATGCAGACATGGTTTTATGTTTACGTGGCGTGGCGCGATGCAACGCGTAAAAAGACAGTATAAGTCATTATAATCCGTAATTATGTCCCCACTGGATGCAACAAATGCCTCGTTTATAATGGGTTTTAATGTTTTTGAATCGTCGCTTCGGCCGGGACAGGGCATCACAGTATGGTAAGGGGTGTAACATTTCCATCACACGCTTGAGGTATTCGGCCAATCACAAGGCACTGGATAGCTGGCCAATCAGAGCACACCTCACTTTTCAGACCGATGAGCTTTGTAAAAATCGACACGTTTCAGAAAGGCGGGGCATAGAGAAGAAACAATAATGTAGAAACAGTAAACATGTAAAAACAGTTTGTGGAAAATAATGTGTTTTTTTACTTTAAACCGCATAAACATTTCATTACACCAAATACACAAAATAATGTTCTTTTTAGCGACATCATATGACCCCTATAAGTATTTTTTCAGGATTTCACGGTTTCAGTTACTTTGCTTTTTTGCAAATGCACCTTCCAGACGGCTGCCAGAGGTCCTGGAGAGCAGTGGGCAAACAAACTTCTCGTCTTTCCGTGCTGATATACGGCCCTGTTGTGTGTATTGTGTGGGTGATACCTGAACCCCTTACAGCACAGAGAAGGGACACAGATACTACAAACCATAGCCAAAACATGTTACCTTATGTTACCTGCAGACTGTGTGTGAGGGATATCTGCTGATGTTATCAACAGCTTCTCTGAGGAGATAACAATATTTTGCTTTTGAAAATAAAGGGATCTGGAATCTATGACTCAAAACATGCACATTTTAAAGTGGGTGTGACATTCAAGTGGGTAAATTGAAAGTATTGTTCAGTATAGCCAGATGCTGCCTGAACATTTAGCAAGAAAGTGAGACAAAAAGAATGTATCATGTTTTTCCAGTAGACAATGAAAAAAAAGCTTCAAAACTCATGTTTGAGGAATGACAGTGCACTTTATGTTGCAGAACAAAATGTCAAAGTCTATTCAAGTAATGAGGCATTAATTTACTCAGAACCACCATTCTAAAAACCCATAGGGAACACATGGTGAATTAGCCTTCTGGCTTAGCCTACAAATTAGCATTATGACTTAACATCTCTATTCTGTTTGGTTATATTAGTGGTTCAGAAATTACACATTTCACCTGAAATGTTTAGAATTATTTTTGTTCTTTAAATGTTTAATGTTCTTTATTATTTTAAACTGCTCTATATATGTTTATTTTTTTTCCAAATAATTTAAGAATACTACTCTCTCTATAGGATGTAACATTGCCCACCCACTTTTTTAGCAACAAGAAGTAGCCTATTTTTCCCATTCATTTTCAACCAAATCCAGCCAGCTACCCAATCAGCTACAAGGTAAATCACAACACCACAAACTTGAAAAAAAGTATTTTTAAATTACACAACTGAGGTCAAAGGTTAATGAAGGGGGGAAAAAACTATAATTCCATGAAGCAATGCAATCGAATAAAAAAATGCTATAAAAATATAAACATTTAAAGATGTTGATTATAGATACAGAAACAATATATTAGAATCAATCTCCCTACCCTACACTCACAAACTACATAAATATTTGTGTGTGTGTGTATGTATGTATGTACAGTGTATATATATATATATATATATATATATATACATACATACATACATACACATACATACATATACTTAAATGTGTATCTGCCTGTCTATCTCATATATATATATATACACACACAGTGGATACGGAAAGTATTCAGACCCCCTTAAATTTTTCACTCTTTGTTATATTGCAGCCATTTGCTAAAAATTTTTTTTCCTCATTAATGTACACACAGCACCCCATATTGACAGAAAAACACAGAATTGTTGATATTTTTGCAGATTTATTAAAAAAAGAAAAACTGAAATATCACATGGTCCTAAGGTGGCGGCAACCAGGTGAGGAGTACAAAGACAAGTGTGTCTTGCCTACAGTCAAGCATAGTGGTGGGAGTGTCATGGTCTAGGGCTGCATGAGTGCTGCCGTCACTGGGGAGCTACAGTTCATTAAGGGAACCATGAATGCAAACATGTACTGTGACATACTGAAGCAGAGCATGATCCAACATGGGGCAGTATTCCAACATCTCACCTGTGTATATATATATATATATATATATATATATATATATGTGTGTGTGTGTGTGTGTGTGTGTGTGGGTGTGAGTGAGTGTATGTGTATACACAGATATCTAAGTAGATATAGAGTGTAGGGAGCGGAACATGTCATTTTTGTTGAATCATGAGAGTGATCAGGCATTAAAGAGATCTTTTGGCACAGTTTGTTTATTTCTTTGCAGAATCATGGATAATGTAGATTTCAACAGGTATTATGCTAGTAAACAAGATTATGTGGAAAATAAGAATAAAATAATTGTGGGCTGATGGCTACAACAAAACTCTATAAACTCTATATC